TTTTTTGCTTTTGATAAGACAACCGAACTGGGCACATTTCTAATTGGCTTTACTATTTTTATTTTTAAATTATGTTTTACTCATTTGATTTGTACAGACTCTTTGTTATCATCGTTCTTTTCGATGTTTGTATTAATTTGTAAGAATCTGCATCTGAAGACGACGAGTTTTCAGTATTTTTACAACTCTTTGGTGGTTTTCTGCATTCTTTGTACACCCAGGAAAGAAAAATTTTATGCAAGGTCTTGTGTTTAAAGAGAGCTTTGCAAATATTTTGTATATTATAGCTCACTCAAAACTGTTTTTCAACACATTTAAGATAGAGTATTAATAGGTTAAAACCAGGCTTTCTAGAAAAAAAAAACCATAAACCTATGTATTTATTTTTAGGATATAAAGTAGCAATATTCTTGGAGACTGATAACCATAGAGTTACTCTGCCCTTTGTGGTCCTTTAAATTGGGGTTTATTTCAGCGAACATGCTGGATTTTTTAAAAGAGAGAAATACTGTATCGGCAAGTTACTGTTACTCAATAACAATGTTTTAACAAGCAGCCATGTAAAGTTAGTTTCCGTGCATTACCTACTTGTGTAGCCCTATGCAATGACAGTAGTGTTACATCTATCCAGCCTAGATGTCTTATGCAGTGACACTCAGATGCAGCCGGGCTGCCAGGGGCCTTTCTCAGAAGCAGCCTGCAGTTGAAGAGCCCGTGGTGCAAAGCATATCCATTCAGAATGAAGTGCCTTACACACAGCGTCGTCTGCTCTGGACTAGCACTGACTGAACTGTGACCCAGAGGACGCTTCCAAGACGGCATCCGGAGTGAAGAGGGTCTTGTGGCACGGTGCCTCTGAAGACAGCGGAAGAGCTTCCAGTTTCCTTCAGATCTTTTTAACCTGAAATAGACTTTAGTGACAGAGTGCCAACCTATCTCATCAGGAAAACTTCTTCAAGGGGGTCTTCTTCTTCTTCTTTTTTTTTTTTTTAAAGTGTTTCAATGTCAAATATGAATTGGTGACAGGGACGGAGGGATCAGACAGCGCGATCGCCTGGTGTGTGGACGATGGCTTAGGGAGGAGAGCCCACCTCTCCGTCCCCGTGCACGCTGGCCGCTGGCCACCGAGAAGACCCTTGAAGATGTTGATGATGCTCTCAGTTTTATAGCTTTATTACTACAAAAGGGGGCCGGGACGCGTGGCTCCCATTCTTTCAGCCCTCTGGATTGTGTCGCCTTTTCCTAGAGTAGTGGTGATCTGCATGAGCAGCTCCTGTGCCGTAGTGCTCGGACAACAATCGTAGCGTTGTCCGCTGTTCTCTTCATATTTATAAGGGGGGGAGGGGCTGGGGGCAAGAGCTAAGGTGGCAAAGCAACGAGCTACTTCTCCTGAGCTCATCTGGGGGGCTCTTAACGATGCAGCGAGGCTGGCTGACCCGCGCCCAGGGACCCTGGCCGTGGCAGAGCCGAGAGCCTCTGAGAGAAAGCCTGGCATCCTGCACCTCCAGCTGCAGCGGGGGGCCCCAGTTTGTCACCTCCTGCTCCCGCCTCCTCTTTCCTGCTTAAGGGGCATTTCTGGGAGCACAGGGGGGGGGGCGAACCCAGAGGAACGCGGCAGCCGGCTGGTTTTCTTTCTTTCTTTTTTGCCAAACGGAGTGTGAGTTCACTTTAGGGACTAGCCAAGCCGAGAGGCAGTGGTTTGGACTCTTGGTTTCAACAGGAGGATGATCCACACCACTCCCCCCCCATCCCTGGGTGCGGAACTGTGACTCAGGGTTGGGCCTCCATTTGGAGTGACCAAAACACCAAAACTGTCCCCCTGCCCGTGGGTCGGGCAGTGGAAATACCAAACCTTCTGTCTTTGCCAAAAGCTGAAACAACCAACCTGGTCCTATGGAGAGGATGACCAAGTTCTTTCTGGTTGTTTCCGAACAGTAAAGCAATAAGAACAAATAAAACACGTAGGACGCTAAAAGATATCCAATAAAGCACAAGGAATGCACTTACTAATATTTTTGTAAAATGCACTGGGGAAAGGTTGATGTTGATAACAGTATAAAGAAACCCTATTTCTTGATAAAAAATAAAAAAATAAAAACAACAAATGACTGTCTCTTGCGGACGCTTGGTACTGTAATGTTAATAATTATCACTGCTGTTGTGTGCAGCAATAGTTTCTGTATGGTCCATAGCACTGTATCTTATGGATTGATATTAATGTATCCAATGAAATAATCGAGCTGTTGTTCTTGATAGCCTCATTAAAGCATATGGTTTTTCACAAAGCAGTGGCCGGTCGTTCATGCTAATTTTCAGCGTTGTTTGCCTCATAAAAAAAAAATGGCACATTTTTTCTCTGACTTAATGAATAACAAATTGCCAGAAAATGTTCAAAATGCCAATCGTCCCTTTTTTTTTTTTTTTCCTGGTTTTAAATGCCACTCTAAGATGTTACTTTTTGGTTAGAATCATTTCTGATTACTTTATAACTTGCACTTAAGTGAACTATAATTATGCAGCTTTATCCCCCCCACCTCTGAATTTGGGGGAGATTTTTGAACTCCCAAATGCCAAGAATGCATTTTAGATATAAGAGTTTTATTTAAAATGTTTTCGGGGAGAGGTGGCTTCACAAAAAGAGAAATTGTCAGAGAATCCCTTGCATATTTACAGAAAAGATATTGGGTTTTTAAAATACAAATTTACAATAATGAAAGCTTAATATACCCAGTCTGCCAGCTCCTGACTGGGCTTTTTTTTTTTTTTTTAAATACAGTACTTAAGGATCATTTGATAAATGTTGGATTTGAATTGGGAAGTGTCAGACAAAACACGTCTTTATTCCCTAGCTAGACCTTAAACTTCTGCCCTTTTTAAAAAAATATTCTGGCTTAACCTCTGGAGAAAATGAGCAAGAAACTTCCTGCAATGCCTCTGATCTGACTGTCAGCTTTTGCTCAAGTTTGATTTTTTTCCCCCCTCAAATTATAATATACAATAATTGAAGCCTTTCTTTTTCAGAGTTATTTGAATTATTTATATTTCCCATAGAAATATGACTGTGTGATGTCTTAAAATCGTGTAAAAAAATAGGAAGATCTCCTACATGAACAAGGGAATTTTTGGAGAGAAATCCAGAGCAGGTAAGTTGGAAGTGGGCTTTTCATCGCAGGACGGGACTCGGCTGCTCCTGCCCCAAGTCTGTGCCCGTGATCTGCCTGTTCACACTCACCCAGAGGCCTGCAGACCCAGTCAGCAGCTGTACACATACACACATGTCACAGTGGTGTGTCACCTGCTTGCCAGAGGTTCACTGCAACCTGCATGACTTCATTTCACCTCCTCAGACTTACATTTCTTAAAGTTTATCTTAAGCCCAATTCACTTTTTCAAAAAATATATTTATCCTCCGGGCGTAAAATGGTGCATACCTGTAATCCCTGTAACTCGGTAAGTGGCTGGGGATTGAACCCCGTTCCAGAAAATAAAAAAATAAAAATCCACAAAATGGCCAAGCGGGGCTCCCCGCTAGCATCCAGATCGGAGCCTTTGCCTGTTTCTGGCTGTGGGGTTTTCAGCTTGTGCGTCTCAGCCTCCCTGCGTCTCGGTGTTTGATCTGCTCACTGGAGACAGTAACAGCAGCGCTGCTTGGTGCTCTCGTGAAGACCACGTTGCCGCACTAGAAGGTTTGCCGGGCAGCAGGTAGGAGATGCTCAGTAAGTAAGTGGCCGCTGTTTTCCTATGATCGTTATAATCACCTTGACTCAGTAGCGCACCACAGCTCGCTGGAGAAATGCTGCACTGGAGCCGAGGGCCGGGAGTGCAGCTGGACCTCTCGCGGGGGAGGCCCTGGGTTTGAACCCCGCCAACACTACAGAATAGCAAGGTTTGTGTGGAGTGGCAAGGTGACAGCAGTTGCAGTCCACCTTGGAAAAGAAGACGTAGCTCTTCTCATCATCCAGGCTTAGAATATTTTAGAGAATCCAATGAAAAACCAAGTTTATCACACTTAGCACAAAAAGACCTAAAATGTGGGTGTGTCCAGCCTGTCTGGTCAGCACTTCCTGTTGCCATGGGGCTGACTGTCCTCTGCTGTCTCAGAACCTGTCTCTCCAGGGCTGCAGTCTGTACTCTGCTCCTGGGAGAGCTGTGGTCATGCTGTTTTTTGAAGGACCCTGTCACCCTGACTGTACCCTGCCCGTTCACCAGCCCAATGGTGCCGAGAGGATTTCCAGGGGTCTGTTTTCAACTGCACCTGCACCGGCTGACCTCTCGGGGATACATCTGAGGAGCTGATCTTCAGCATTGAGCTGCACAAACATACCTCTAAACCACCCTGCTTTATTGTTTTTTGCATGTTGAGATGAGAAGCACAGCCAAGGAGCTAGTCTAAGACAGCCGTGGACACTTGGGTTGTCCCCAAGTTTGGAGGAGGTGACGATGGTTTCTTCATTCCTCAGTGCCACATCCGGAGTCTGCAGTGATGCTTCATGTCTGACACACACCACATGAGTCATGGTTGCCTCTTGTACAGACGATGATTGAAGGAGTCTCCATTATTTTTTGTTATGTATCTCTGGTCCCAAGAGGCACGTATTTTTTTTAAAAAAAATAAAGACTTAAAAGGACAGAGTACAGTCTTCATATTAAAATTGTCAAGGTCCAGTATATAGGTAAACTTGAACAGCACTAGTCATATTTGTATTCAATATGCATCAGTCTTTCCACCCCATTACCTACACCAGATATACTGGAAAGTAATGGGCGTATGCACAAAATCAGATAGATCTCCGCAACATGTCTAAATGGTAAAGACAGTTTGCTTTTGAGAAATTTGCATTTTAAATTTCTAATTATGGAGGCAGTTGAAGATATATTCAAATGGGTGCAATTGTCACTCAAAATTCCTTATATATTATTCAGACAGCAAAATCTGTGGAGATAGAAACCACTCAAAGAGTTCCCCAAACTTCACTTTATGGAACTAGTTCTACAAGCTGTTCCCAAAGTTGCTTTGAGGAATGGGGGTTTGGAGGTGGGGCTGAGGGTGCGGGTGTGAAATGCTATAGTTAAATCTTGAGAAAGTTAACTTTGGAAAATGCTGGGCTAAGCAAATTTGAGCAGATAGCTCTAACTGCAAGACTTCTCACATTCTAAAATATGCTAATGTGACTTGAGAGTTTTGGGACTGGGAATGGTATGCAAAGTTTCCCATCCTGTGGCCAGAGGGGAGGAGAGAGAAAGTTTGTGTGTGTGTGTGTGTGTGTGTGTGAGAGAGAGAGAGAGAGAGAGAGAGAGAGAGAGAGAGAGAGAGAGAAGAGATGCATGTCAGTACCTCCAAAGAATACAGTTTGGTAAATTCTGAAAATTTTACACAAATTATATGGAGTTAACAGAGACAACTTCTTCCCAATGCAGATAGAATCCATTCTCATTAAAAAGGTATTATCCCTAGGGGGGAAAAAAATAGCTTAGGGTTTCATCTCCGATAAAATTCTGGTTAAGGAAACGATGATCATTTAGAAAGTATTCTGACTTTTAAAAGTAACATGTTTTCATTTTCAACAAAAGTAACAATTGTGGCCAAGCACAGGTTTGAAGTACCTTTCCTGTGGATGGTTAAAAGGTAAGTCTTGAAGATCGTGCGTCTCCCAGCCCTTTAAATAGGGACAGCCCAGTGTTTGAGAAGCAGAGCAGCAACTTTGGCTACAGCATAATTGGTTTTATTTAAAGTTTTGCTCATTTATTTTTGGTGGAAGGACATTAGGAAGAATTTTCTGGTATTTAGAACTGATAGGCTCTTGTCAGCAATTTCCTTTGTACAGGGGCATTTTCTAACAGATGGACCAGGTCTTCTCTCAGAAGTTTGGTTGTTCATTGGCTGAAGGCTGACCCAATAAAGGTGCATTGATCCTCATGTAGCTGAAGTATGTAATAGTAGCACAAAGATTATCCTAGAATAAACCCTGAGCAGCACCACGAGCATTTCTTCTCCACCCTTTACAGCTGAGATCTGAGATTTCTGTCAGGGTCTTGCTTAACTGCATTTCTGAGCTCCCGCTCTTTGCTTGGGAACAAGTGGCAAAAGTGAATTTAATTGCAGGGGATGTTCCCGATAGTGCCCGCCTGGCTTGGAGGCAGGCGTGGGAATTCCTGTCCCTCACTGTCTTGACTCTGTCCTCCTCTCTGCAGGTGATCTTCTCCAGGAGGTCCCCTCTGGCAGGTCCAGGGTCCTATGGAAACCCAGCCACGGTGGCAAAGTCCCCTGTAAGTAGTTCTGATCCCACCTACGGGGACATGCTCACCATGGCCCAAAGATGACCACGCCAGCTGGCCAGGTCACATCTGAGTTGTGCATCCACCTAATCCACGGGGACTTGGGGCCGTGGTGTTCCGGAGAGCGAGGACGTGGATTCTGGGCAGGCAAGACTGCGCCTGCTCCTGCCATTGGTTTCAAGAAGATGGGACAGGCCTGCCTTTGTCATCTCTCTCCCCTCCCAGAGGCATGGCCCTGGGGTTTTCCTCCCTCTGCACTTAGCCACAGGGGATGGGAACAGTAGACAGGGAGGTGTTGGGTCCTAGGTGCCCGGTCCCCTCTTCCTCCTCCTCCTCACCCATGGAGGTATTTTATTAAACAGCTGTCACCCCGCCCTCAGTGCTGCGCAGGTTGGAGAGCCTGAGATCCAGGCTTCACGGTCAGATGTTCAGAGGACTCGCTCCACACCGCTGCCCTAAATGAGCACGGACTCCCAGGGCCTTCCCAGAGACCCCTGGGATTGCACATGGCAGAAGCCACTCGATTTTACCCACGCCCAAAAGGGGGATGTCTCAACTGACGGAACAACAGGCTCCGGGGGTGCAGCTAGGAGGGGGACCTCAGACACCTCCGCAACAGCTTCCTGAATCCCGCTGACTCCGTGCCCTGCCCCAGCTCAGCTGGGCTTGCCTCCCCTGACCTCATTCCTCGGCCGACTCCCTACAAGGTGGTAAAGTGGCTGGTGACCCCAGATACACCTTTGCCATTTCCACCCAGCCTGCAGACAGTGCTCCTGTCCCCCCAGAGTCTCACTGGTGAGAGTTGGTCAGCCTGTTGGATCCTGCACCGGTCATTGCCACGGCGTGGGACAGGAGGACAGGGTCTCTCATCTCCACCAGACCAGCCTGGGGACAGGAGCAGCCCAGGGGGCCATGCAGCCTCCTCCCAGGCCCTTTCTGCCTCCATGGGATGCAGACTAAGTTGGACCTCCCCAGAGAAGAGGCTCTGATCTCCCCACAGAAGGGAGGCTGCGTCTCCATTTCCCTCCAGAGCCAGAGCTGTATTTCCAGCCTGCCTGCCTTTCTTCCTCTCCTTACTCTTTCTTTTTTTCCTTTCTTCCTCCCCATCTCTCTCCCTTCCTTTCTTCCTTCCTTCCACCAAGTTGAAATGCCCTCCTTCATTTGCTTATAAAATATTCATCTGTGATCACAGGTCAGGGCCTGACGAGTGTCCCCACAATTATTGCCAATATGAATACAGTGTTACGTTTTTTTTTAAGACTCGGCCAAGTCGCCAGGTGGAGGGCACCTGCTTGCTGGGACTTAGGTGGGTGGACATCGTATCTCATATCTCGTCGTATTCGGCCAGCTGTTGGGGATGCCAGTTTCAGGAGTTCACTCACAGGCCGCCGAGCTCATTCTGTACGGGGCTAGCCTCTCCCCTTCTCCGTTTCTGATCCTGGGCCTTCTGTGTGTGCTGCTCTCAGCCTCTTGGTCATCTTTAAGGTCATGATTACACCAAGCTACTGTAACCCGGCAACCCTGGGGGCTTCAGAGACCTCAGGAGGTTTGGGTCCCTGTATTTAGAGGCCCTGAGAGCAACCCCCTGTCTCTGTCCAGGGAAGTCACTGTCGATCTTATCAGAACTGTGTCCTGTAGAGGGCCAGGTGGGCCTGTGGACCTCCTGAGCCGCTCCCTCTGAGCCGTGCGCAAGTGGCGGGGCTTTGGCTTAATAGGAATTTTCTTCTCTTGTTTCCTGTTTTTCCCGTGGACTTTGGCTGATAGGAGCTGCTGGGTGCGTGAGCTGGTTGAAGACGTTTTCCTAGGATTGAAATGCAGGCCAAACTCCTCGGGTTGGTGGGTTCTGTTGCTGGACCCCCTGGGAAACCAGTCCTCTTTCACCACGTGGAGGGAATCTCCCCAGGTCATTCTTCACAACTCCCACGGTGGCCAAGGTTGGCCCAGTTTCCTGAGAAGCGCTGCGGGGTGAGAACTTTAGGTTTTGTGAGCTGAGAGTTGAACAGAACACCAGTGAAAACAGGTTTCCACACAAGTTTTCACTGATGAAATTCAAAGTACAATGATAATAGTAACTGGGTATAGTTTGGAGAACACAGATCTAATAAGAAGAACGGAATCATTTGGGGGGAAATAACAGTTTGCATGACTTGCTGTTCTGCAGGCTCAAGTGGAAAAATGTCTCTTCTTCCAGATGGAGAAGGGGAAATGGACCAGTGAGTTGGTAGTGCTACTGATGAAGGAATCTCTGGAATAGAGGAAGTGGTTGGAAGAGTGATGACCAGACAGGCATCCGGTGTGTGTCCAAGGTCCAGCTAAAGAGTGTCCTCCTTCCTTTCATAAGGAAGCTTTGAAATGGCCCCGATTCCCCTCCTCGCCTTCCCTTGGGGTTGTGCAACCTGACTGATGGTGAGGAACGTCTGATGGTACCAGTGGTTACAGGGAAGACCGACAAGAAGGGAGGTCAAAGGGACAGGGATCCAGAGGACAAAGAAGGGGAGGACATCCACCAGTTATGGGATGTCCCTGTACAGATACGGCACAGTGAGTCCTGTGCTCATTGAAATAATAAGAGGAGGGAGATCCACAGAGAAAGTGGATCTGGGGGCGGGGAAGTGGGAAGGTACAGGGAATGAGCTGGATCCACTGTGTTGTGTGCATCCATAACTATGGCATAACGAATCCATACTGTATAGGTATGACGCACCAATAAAAAAGAAATAAAATGAGTGTCCTTGATGGAAAGCAAGGAGGCCCCTCATGTTTGGCAGAAAGACTCCTGTGATTTCCAATGTTTAATTTGCTCTTAAATTCTTTATCTACGTTAGATATTCTCATCTGCAGTTTTCGATGAAGCTGGTATATTGACAGTTCTTAGCCAAGACCCTCCATCCAAACTCAAAGTTTCAGTCTACGGTCAGGTAGGATGTAAGAACGAAGCAGTTGTCTTGAGTTCAAGTTTCCGTTTTAATCACGAAAATTAAAATCGTGCACCACGCACAGGTGGGGCCGGATTGGGCCTGTGGGCACGTTGTCCGGCGCCTGGCTGGGGGCTGGACAGTTGCTCCTCCATGTCTGTTTGCTCCCCTCCTTCTAGTGCCCGGGTGAGCTGGGCTTGAGCTCAGCACACAGCCACGTCTGGGCCCCGCTTCTCCAAGCCTCCCCTGGAGACCTGTGCACCTTGTCATGGCATCCTGCACGCTGGCCTGGAAGCCGCCCTCATTTCTATCATCCTGCTGTGCAGGAAGGAAAGGGGAGCAGATCCAGCCTCCCGGACCCAGAAACAAATGCTCTCTGTGGAGTGTGGTGGCACCACCCCGTCATCTCCAAACCGCTCCAGGAGCAAGGAGGAAACCGCTGTCCCCAGGGAGGCCTGGGACCTTCTCCTGGGACAGCTTAACTGTGCTGGCAAAGAGACTGTGTTCTCCTTACACATGAGAAGCGTGTCTCCTCCTCTTCCTTCTCCTGCTCCTCCTTTCTGTCCACGAGAGTGATTCGTAATTTGCTCTATTTCCTGCTGGCCTTATGATTCCGTAATATAATGAGCTTTTTTTTTTTCTGCTTCAACAAAAAAACAATGAAATTCTTTTTTGTGGCATGGATAAGAACAGTCAAATTAGAATTCAAAAGCTATCTGAAGATTTGTTAGGTTTCCTAAACAAAGCTCATATGATGCTGGTTTTTTTTTTTTTTAAAAATATTTATTTAGTTGTAGATGAACACACACAATCTTTACTTTTTTTTTATGTGGTGCTGAGGATTGAACCCAGTGCCTCGCATGTGCTAGGGAAGCACTTTACCACTGAGCTACAGCCTCAGCCCCGATGCTGTTGTATTTTTGTAATCATGGAGAAAGCAGAACACACAGGAAGCGCATCTTACTACTTTGGTAAGGGAACCTGCAGCACATTTATTTGTTTATTGGGATTCTTACAAGAGACTGGATGATAGTATTTAAATGTATTTTTTTTTTTTTGAACTTTCAGATGAACTTTTCTAATCGTGTCGAGTTTCAGAGGAGGGATGGCTGAACGTGATACCTCCACACGGCACAAAATCATAAACTGTACAAGAAGCAACCAAACCAGTGCAGAAGCCGCTGCCGGTACTGGTTCCCTAGCCAAAGAGGGCTGTCGGCTGTTGACCGGATCCCTCCTGCCCCCAAGGGTTGACATCTTGCAGAAGGCGAAGGTAAGAAGGTCCCTGCCCCCTGAGTCATGTGTCACAGCACCATAGCTTTCTTTGTGTTTTACTCTCTTACACCCAGTTTGTACCAGTGTTTCCAAGCAACAAGGGCCATGATCAGTCTCACGGGCATTAAAAATCGAACTCAAGGGTGGCAAACACACGGACCCCACTTCCGCAGGCCCTGAAGCCACCTCCTGGGTAGCTGTTGATAACCCTTCCTCCGATTGGACATGGCTTCACAGTCCACAAAAGAGCACTCTGGGACTGGGGTGCCACTCAGTGGTCATTGAGAGCCTAGCAAGCTGCAGGCCCTGGGCTCGTCCCCAGCTCTGGGCAGCGGGGGCCCTTGGCATCCATGGCTCGTGGCTCAGGTTGCTTCTACAAGTGGAAGCTAGGCTGCGGGGCCCAGCTCCCTCCACTGGGAAACAGCATTCCTTTGGGAAGGAGGGTGACCTGCCCCATGAACTCTCTGACCAAATGAGATGCACTGTGGTGCTCCGTTTAGCCCCGCGTGGGGGTGACAGGTCAGTGGTTCTTCTCCCTGAGCCTCTCCAAACAGGCGCCATGTTTTAAGACCTCGTCTACCCTCAGTGGCACACTCCACCTCCAACCCACACACACACAGGGGGGGACCCGGCTACGTCTCAGTCTGGATCCAGGACGTTTCATGCCAGTTGTTCATCTGACGGTCATTTAAACATCCCTCACCTTCATCAAAGAACCTGACTCATAATAGGTTGTCAATGAATAGGAATGCGCGTTCATGCACAGTGATTCAAGGAGTCTGTGTTGGACACCGGTTACTTTTACTTTTTAAAAGAGACTGGTGTTTCTTTTCCATAACCTCATTTCCATTTTGCTCAAGTGACTGCAGAAGAGCATCCACGCCCCTCAGAGGTCCCTCCTGCCCACTCAGAGGTCATTCCTGCTCACTCAGTGGCCTGTGCAGTGGGAGCTGCAGACAGTCTTCAGCGGCTGGCTGGGCACTCCCGGATTCAGCATGGGACTGCCCGAGGGGCACAGAGGGCACACACACCCTCGGCTCCGTCTGCAGCCTCAGGTTGGGTAGCTGTGACCTCGGGAGCTGGAGCAGTCCGCACCCCTGAGATGCCTCCTGGTCCAGCTCTCTCAGCAGCCCCTTCTTCCCTTTAGCCTCTGAGGGTCTCTGTGGAGGCAGAGATCAGGCGTGGCTGCTGTGGGTGTCACGGGAACCCCTGGAGCCAGCCTCCACCACGGCAGAACCACGGAGCGAGCCCCCTGTGGCGTGGGTGGCAATGTCCACGTGGCGCTGGGGAGAGTCTGGGTTGTAGAGCAGCCTCCAGGATGCTGCTGACGTGAGGTGCCTGGGTGACAAGGGCTGACGGTAACCTCCAGATGACTGGCTCCTGAAAGGCCACGCGGGTCCAGCTGGTGATGACTCCAGGAGGGAAGTCATTGGCAACAGGAGTGGCACCAGGGACAGCAGCCAACTCCAGGACCACCGCTGGCCACCACCTGGAGTCCACGACCCTGACGTCAGCAGGTCTCAGCAGCAACACCGGCCGGAGCTGCCGACAGGAAGGAGCTCCTCCCAGGGCCTCTGGCTGCGGGCTTCTCCTTCTGCAGGTACCTGGTTCCATCTGGAAGCCAAGGCTGGTGCCACCAAAGTGGGTCCCTGCTGCAAGGAATTTGAGGACATCTCCTTCATTGTGCAGGACACCAAGGGCTCCAGGCATGGTGTCAGGACCGCATCTTGGTGTGAAGGTGCCTTCGTGTAGCGGTGGGCATTAGATGCTGCTGTTTGTAAGCAAGAGGTGTGTGCTCAAAGGCACTGGGGAATGCCCTTCATTCTGTGGTTGAGGAATGGACCCGGAGAGGCTGGCTGACCTCAGTGACCTACAGGCTGCCCAGCACCTCCCTAGCCTGGCCTCCTGTGGAGGAAGGCCAGCACAGGAGAGGGCAATACGCTCTTGAAGTACAGTGTGTTGGAAAATTTGAGTCATTTGAGTGAGACCAACAGGCCTGGAGAGCACTCCATTGAAAGGATGGGTTGTCACGGTCTTGAGGGTCACTCCATGCCATGGGGTGCCCGTGCAGAAGCACTGAGGCTGGTCAGAGATGGACAGCAGGGGACCAGGGGCAGGAGTCTCCTTTTGGCTTCCATGGGAAGGAGTGGGCGAGGTGGGCCATCTTGCTTGGCACAGGCTGCTTGGAGCCACTTCTGTGGCTCAGCAGTGTGGGGTTCTCAAACCGTCAGTACCCGTCCAGAGGTGGTGGGGCAGGTGGGCTGGCCAGGACAGTGAGAGCCCAGCAGGGGAGGTGCCTGGAGGTGGTTTGCATGTCAACATGAGCCCATGGGAGGAGAACTCTTCCCAAAGAAGGTCAGGGTGTGAGGGTGCAAGGGGCCAAGGCTGGTGAGTCACGCGCATTACCAGGTTGCCCAGCCCGGGAAAATGCCCAGCGTGTTCTCAGAGGACAGATGTTAAAGTGTCAAGCTGAGAGCGGTGGGTGAGAAGCACAGCCATTCACGGTGCAGAGGAGACCCACCGTTAGCTGGGGCAGGAAAGGAGGAGGAACGGGCTGGGGGTAACAACCTCGTGGGTACGGGGTCTCCTCAGGTGCAATGAGAATGTTCTGGAATTAGACGGTGATGGCTGCATGGCTCTGGGGGTGCTGCCGCTGAGCCGTGCACTCTCAGGGTGAAGCGCATGCATCATGAGTTTAATCTCGATTTAAAAGTCGGAGGAAGAAGGGGAAGTAGGCAGATGTAGGCAGAAGTTGATGGGCGGGAGGGGGTGTTTGAAAGTGAGATCACCCACCGGCCTCTTGCTGGAAAGGGGTCCTGGGGCACAGGAGTAGGTCCAGAGGGGGTGTTGGAAGGAAGGCACGTGGCAGGCATGTGGGCTCCAGGTGGGGCTGCTGGGAACCAGTCTGTGCCCAAACCACGGATGTGAACATTGAAGACAAGGGAATGTTAAGTCGGAAACAGAAGGGAAAAGATTCTCACCTTTCTCTTGACTCCGTGCCCTCAGAATCCGGAACACTCGGTGGTGCTCATTCTCGGCTCCTCAAGAATGGCCTTGGCTGTTTTTCCTTTTATCAAAGAAAGCATCAAAAAGGGCTCAACTTTATCTGCAGATGAGATACGGTTGCTGTGGCGGTTTCCTCCACGCAGGGCGTGTCTGTTCAGTTTGGTGGTTCTCATGGGGAGGAACAAACTTCCATCCGAAATGATCCCTTGTTGTTTGACCTCCGACCTTAGCCTTTAGCTGGGGACGATAGATTAGGCGGCGGAGTGGAGTGGGGTGTGGGCAGCCGTGCTGTGTCATGAGCCCCTAGTTAAAACACACTGGCCGTCAGCGTCGTTGACACCAAGTTCTGCCTGGACACCCTTGCACGCCCACCCACGCACACACATTGGACACACATCTGTATCCACACACGTGCAGAAGTGAAGTCGGCTGGGCAGTTGGAGCCCCGTGCCACTCCATGCAGGGTGTTGGTCTAAGGAGTGACGTTCTTATACTCACAGGGGGGTGGGGACAATCACGACGGTGGCTGGAGCTTCCATAAACCTAACTGTATCCATTTCAAGAGGGGCGCTAATGCTGCTTGTTCAAAAGTTGTTGAAAGATGGGTGGCTTACAGAATCCTAAAGCCGGCGGCTGGTGCAAGCTCTTAAAAATGCTTCTCAGTTCTAGGTGGAGTCCCCCCAGGGTGGTCACAGGGAAGAGTCTCATGAGAACTTTGAACCTCTGACATTGAAGGTTTGTTTGCTTTTTCGCTTAAGCTGCCACACGTACGCGGAACATGGGGTTTTGAGTTGGAAGGGTCTGTCACTTAGCGCATAACCTTGACCAAGGTTTCTGAGACTTTCCTCACCTCGAGGTCGGAGGTGGAGATGCCTGTCTCTGAGGGTGAGTGACCTCAAGGAGAAGGCTATACAGAGCCCTTGTTTCCACACAGTGACACTTGGTGGCTGTTGTCACTCCCCTTCAGCTCTGTTAGTCCCACAATGGATTTTTTTTATTGTCTTCTCTTTTTCAGAAATAAGTGTCATCAGCCAGAGCATCTTGGTTCATCATTCCAAAGCATAATATTGCAAAGGACATGGATGAGACGTCATTTTTCTCTGATCAAAGGCAAAGTGTGCAGCTGGGTTTCCTGAAGGAAAGGCCAGTGCAGTGGTCCCCGGGTGTCCACGGGGCTGGGCTCCAGGACAGCCTGTGGCTGTTGAGTCTGTGGGCACTGATGTCCCTCCAGGAGATGGGCAGCGCTGGCCTGTCACTAGCTCTACCCTCCCCTCCCCTTGACCCCACCTCTAGTTTGCCGTCAGCTTACAACAGGCTGCTGCAGGAGAAGCCCTTCTACTGTGCTGTTTAGGCAGCGAGGACAGGAAAAAGCTGTTCCTTTTGGTCTGCGTTTCTCAGATCCTAGAGGTGTTGAACATTTTTCCATACACCTGCTGATTGGTTGTATTTCTCCTGTGAAGTGTCTGTTCAGTTCCTTCACCCATTTATTGATTGTGTTATTATTATTTTCATCGCTATTTATCCGAGCTGGCGACCTGTCCTGGGTTCACAAAATCTGACTATTCCAATAACCTAAGAAATCGACCAAGAAAGCACTCAACCACTCAGAAGTAACTTTTCAAAATCCACGACGGCTCTCCGACCTTAAGGGTCCGTGGAAAGAGAGCGGGCCACTGGAAGTCTTTATTCTTATGCAGGGGACATACAAGGGGAGGTTCCATGGAACATTCTAACCCCCAAAGGGCAAAGGGGTAGGGTTACAAAGGAACTGGTGAGTGTGGCTCAGCCCCAGTGGGTGACACCTACTCCTGGGGCCACACCTTGCTGTCCGAGCTGGGGTGACGCCCAGGTGACTGCGACCCACGCTGAAGACAGTAACTGTTCAGAACCCGGTGCATCAGGACTTAAAGGTGTCTGCATCCAGGGCAGCTTCCGACATCATCATTATTATTGTTGTTGTTATTATTATTGTTGTTATTATTATTATTATTATTATTATTAGTTTTTGGGGTTAAGTTTTTGAGTTCTTTGTATATCCTGGAGGTCAGTGCTCTATCTGAGGCGCAGATGGCAGAGATTTTCTCCCATCCTGTAGGCTCTCTCTTCACATGATTCTTTCTTTGGATGAGAAGAAGCTTTTTAGGTTGAATCCATCCCATTTATTAATTCTTGATTTTACTAAATAAAAAGGCAAAAAAAAATCTGTTTGCATTCAGTACAGAAATATTTAAAAAAAAAATAAATTTAAGAACCATGGTTGCATGAACACACGGGGCAGACGCCGTGGATTCTCTGGGTCAACTCTTGTTTTTGTTTGGTCAAAAATGCTGATGGAACCTTCTCTGTGTTTGCAGAATTTTTGGCAGGAACCAGACAAGTTCTGGGCCACATGGGCCGTCCCTGTGGTGCTGAAGACTGGGTTTGAATTCGGCACCCTCCGCTCGCCGCCCTCCCGTCTCCTCTCTCAGCCTCTTGGCCTCATCCATGAGCTGCTGTAGCGGGAACCCCTTACTCAGGCCGCTGGGAAGCCCAAGGGATCTGAGCGTAGGTAAGAACCTTCCCTGTCACACAGTGACCTTCCGTGGGCGTCGGCTCCTCCTGCAACATGGAGGTGACGTTTCTTGCCTGGACCTGGGAAGTTCCACCCGGAGCTTTCCCCGTGGTCTCCTTGTTCCTGAGTCCTGCCTGTTCCACGTGTCCATTGGTGCATAACCAAGTACCCCAAATGGTGGCAAAACCAAAGAACCAGGTAGATCCTGTGAGTCGGAAGTAGATAGGGCACAGGGTCTCCTCTCTCTGTGTTGACATCTGGGTCCTCAGCCAGAGAGGCCCCAGCAGCAGTGGTGAGGTGATGTTGAGGGCTAGGGTCATCCCTCACGAGTCTGGAATGCTCCGGACGGGGCTCCCTGGGCCTGATGGCCAGTGTCCCCATGTGACTTGCGTGTGACATGAGATTCTCTCAGCTTGGTGGCTGGTGTCCGAAAAGGAGTAACCACAGAGAAAGTGCCTCATGGCCTTGGTGACCTGGCCACAGACATCACCAGGGTCCTGCTGCACTGCACTAGTATACAGGGGCACAAGCCCTCTCAAAGTGGGCAGGGTGGACGGCACCCTTGGGGGGGGGCATGCCAACGACTGGCAGTGCTCCTTCTTCCTCTCTGTCCCCATTTCATCCGCGGCTCCTGTTGCCAGGTTCCCCTGGGGACTGGTCCCTCATTACTTCCACAGTCCCCCACCCCAGGGCTGGACCCCAGAGCGTCCCTCCTTGGCCTCTGCTGCTCTCAGCACACCCAGGCAGCACCCCTGCTGGGCCTGCTCCAGCCCCTCACACCGTCCTCGGCTCTGACTCCACCTGCCGCAGGTGGGTGCCAGGGGAAGGCCACAGCACTGAGGACAGAGCCCAGGGAGAGGACACAGCCCCAGCCAGCTCTATAGGACCTGAGGGCAACAGGAACCTGCGGCTGCTTCCAGGTGAGACCCTGGAGAGGCGGCCAGACCTTCAGACACGGTGCTGCCCTCCGGCAGGAGAGGCTTAGAGAGCCACTAAGAAAGACCTGGAATTACCCAAGGAAACGGACGCAGAAGGGTCTTTCAGGAAAGAAGGAGAGACACTCCTCATTCCCTGCCCCGGGCCAGTCACCAAGGCAGTGTCTGGCCTCCCAGGACAGAGACAGGACCCCAGGGTGAACAGCTGGGAACCCCAGATCATGAAGTCTGACCTTCAGCCTCCTTGATAACAGTGGGTAGCCCCAAGGTAGAAATGGCCCAGATTTAGGACAGCGAAGTCCCTCTGCACATCTGAGTACACAGAGGGCCATCCACGTTCACGGCACACATCTAAGGCTTGGTGTTGGTAGAGCTTCCCGAGAGGGGGGTGTATCCCATAGGATACGTGTGACACTGTTTTCCTTACAACCAATTCTGGTTTCTGTTGTCGTGAAATTCTATTATGTGTGGGACTTTTGTCCACGATATTGAAGGGACACCGCTGTCAGGCAGAAGGAGGAGTTAAGATGGGGGCATCCGTTCACGTCAACCTCACCGAGACCTGCTATGTGTCAAACACTGTGTTGGGGTTAGAGGTCCCAGGTCAGAAGGACATGGCCTTGGCCCTTGTCAACGGAGCTCACGTTCTGATGCTGTGGAGCAGGCAGGATCTCTTGCTGTCCCCAGGTCAGGTCTCAGGCTCGTGGCTGGACATAGGCTGGGGTGTGGGAAATGTGTTCGGCCCAGAGAAAGGGTGCACTTGGATCCCCCTCCTGCAGACACATGATAATGGTCCATAACAACTCCTCCTTCCCTGCGGCATCCACTCACCCCTTCCGTATTCTGGAGTGCGGCACGTCACCATTACATGATCTATTTAGACTGAACCACTGACTTTACAGTGATCTCCATCCACACAGAAATTGTGGCGATAATAGGAGCACTGATCTCTGCTTCTGTTCCGTGTCAGTGGAGGAGAGTTGTTAGGCAGATGCACTGGGTCTAGTGTCACCTTAATTACAGGTTCACGAAGGCAGGTTCCCCTGTATAGCGTTAGGCTTAATGCCACGGGCTCCTCCGATTGTTCCCATGAATCACCTTCTGGGACCCACACAAATCCGGTAAGAAACGTAGAACTAATGTGACATTCGCACAAAACACCACATTAGTTCCATGCGGTCGACCCTATTCCAGCAACACCAAGCCAAATCAGGTTATTGAGGGGTGAGTGGTGATTTAACACCCCGATTTGTAGGTGGTTTTGTCTGAGCCCGGCGTATTATTTACACCATTCACGGTGGGTTCAAAGATGTACTAGGTGCACGGTTTGTTTGGTGTGGCCGCCCGTCTCTCCCCACACCCACTGAGAGCACTCCTGAATGAATCACCACTCTCTCCGCGGAGGACGCCCTGCACCATCTTCCTATCAGGTTCTGAATGATGACATGATTTTTTTTTTATAACTCAAGAGTTATCATAAAGCAACATGCATTATGAGACTTGAAGAACCAAGACTTAGAAGAAGGCAGAGTAGCATCCAAGACCAGGAAAACTTGATAGTTGCCTAATATTATTATAAAGGGAGGTTGAGGTCCTCTCTGAACTGGAGTCAGTCTCTTTGGGAGCAAGCACCTTTCTGCCCGAGTCCTCTTCTCCATGTAACTTGGGAGCAGTTTTGAATGTTGAGGCTCAGCTCACTGTTACCCCTGGGAAGAAGCCCTGTGTTGCCCAGATCAGCCTCTCTGAACCACCCACTCCATCACCCTGTGGGGTGCTGTCTGCTCTTTGTCTTCCTGTGTCTTCCTGCAAGCCACTCTCTCTGCCCCAGGTGTACGTATGATCACCTAGGACCGGCTCCTGTTGTAGCTAGCTTCCCTTGTGCGTGGAGTACACAGTGGCTATTGAAAAAAAATACGCCTACACAAGATTATCCTTAGGAAGAGGAGATACGGCCGCCTTCTAACCTTTGCCCTCTGTGCAGGTGCCATGGTGGAACCCAGGCTATCACATTGCACCCTGAGGTAGAAGCCAAGTGTTCGGAATGGTGAACTGCAAATACAGGTCCCCGACCAATCCATAAAACTGCCTTATTATTTCTGAAGAGGCAATCTCTGACCTTCTTCAAGGAGAGAAATACAGAAACTTGTTAAGGCACCATCAGCCTTCAATACACAGAGCAACCGGTCCAGCCTATGCACCTGACCCGACCATGCAGGACAGAGGCCAGTGGCAAAGAACTCTGGTGGCTTCCAAGGTATGAACCCGCTGATTGGCAGCCATGGTTAAGGCGGGGCTGTTGAGTCTTCTGCCACTCGCAGCTAAACCCGGTTCTGTGTGTCATGCCCTGTTTACTCCAGGCCCTTAGTTAGGGTTTATTATCATCTTTTCGTTCCTCTTGTTTATCATCCTCTGATCCTTAACATGGAATCTCCAGGAGGGCAGAGATCCCTGGGGTCCGTCCTTAGAACGCTGCTTCCCGGCTGCATGTTCGAAGAATGAATGAACTAATACTTTAATTTTTTTTTTATTGCGAGATAAAATATTTTGAGAATTGCAAATCTGGAGGAGTAAAATGAATTCTATTTGGAGGACTAGGGCTGGCAGAGGAATTGACAAAAGTTTTTCTTTTCTTTTCTTTTTTTTCCTCCCAGACTTTAAAAAAAAAAAAAGAAAAGAAAAAAAACCTGATGAAATTAGCGGTAGATAAAAATTCATTTCCAGATTCTAACAAGGACTCACAAACAATGGAGAACACATAAATAGAGAAGCAGCTTTATTAATAATCCTTTGCGACTCCCTTCGTGATCTTCTGGTGACAACCCTACCGGAGGCGCTCTTTATCAGCCACCGAGGCAATTTAGATGCTGTCACATGCCTTTCTTGATATATACGTATTAGACATAAAGCAGTTTTCTCTTCTTTGGCTTATTTTAGTATATAATTAAAACTGTGACTGTCTGCTACTAAGCAACGGAGCATGGCCGAGGTTGATCACATCCTATCACAAAGATAGAAAGAGGAAAAATAATAAAAATAATCATACACATTCCTGCTATCGGCCTTCAGATCTTAATTATGTTTTAACTCCTTTGTTAGACCAAAGGCACTGCCTGTTGGCATTTAAAGAACACCCTCACTTTTCTGCCGGAGTTCAATCTAGTTCTTTAATTTGGATCCCAGTCCATTTGTGGAATTCTTTGGGTGGCATTTAAGGTCATTAGGGGTGATGGATGCTGAGATAGGAAGTCGGGCGGTGCAGTTTCCATTCAGCCGTCAAACTGGGCAGGTGCGTGCGGGGCGCAACCAGGTTCCAGAATCTGAAAGCGGAGGCTGGGGCGGGGTGCGTGGGAGGCGGGGAGGTGGGTCTGCACCCCCGGAGGGTGGGCGAGTGCCCACCAGCACCCAGCAGCCCCCGCCTTTCTCCTGGGGGCCCACCTCTGCAGCCCAGCCTCAAGTGCACATTCACAGTGGATGTGAATGTGCACTTGCTGGAAGTGGACCAGCTCTGGACATGCTCAGAAGGAGCCACCCATACTTCTGTCCTGGCTCCTCCTCCTTCAGCTCCCCAACACGGCTACAGGTGAGCATACTCACTCCCTGCTCACCCCTCTGTGAGTGACTCCCAGGCCCCACTGTGTTCCGGGCACCCTTTGGGGTTACAGGGCCATCGCCGTGAGCAACACTTGCACAGCTGCCCGGGCAGATCTGCTGGGCTTGGTGCAGGGTTAAGCCTGGAGCCCTCTCCCCAAGCCATTCGCTCTCCACGCCAACCATTAACAAGCGACAGAACATGCCCCATGGCAGAGCCGGACTCCAGCCCCACCTGTGCCTGGCGTCCTCTCTGCCCCTCACCAGCCATTGAGCATGTCACTTAATGTCACCCGCCTGCATTTCTGTATCTGTGAACCCAGGACCCTATCTTATGGGTTGTGGGGAGAGTCGTGATATAATGAAGGAGTCCCTTCTGCAGCACCGATTGGCACTTGATCAGCTTCACAGGTCAGTAAGGAGAGTCACAGAGGCCACAACTGGCCCCTACCTGTTCTTCTGCTGAAAAGGGGGAACCCACAAGCACCCCGAGTCTGTGCCTCATGGGGAGCCCTTGGTCTTGCTTCAGTCTTCTAGCAGGTTCCTCCTGGAGGGTCAGTTTCCTTCTCTGCAGTCTGGGCAGGGCCATGCCAAGCTCTGCCCCCGTCTGCCCTGCTGTGACGAGGCACCTAGAAATCCTCGGGGTGGGTCACAGTCTCGGCTTCAACGTGCTGAGAGTCGTGTCTGCGTGGCTCTCACACCAGGCTGTCAGGCTAACTTGTCAGCTTGCCACAGAACCGCTGGCCGCTGGACATCTATGTGGTGCTCCCGTGGTCCTGGCCGGCCGGTCCCCTTGGGAAGGTGGTTACGTTTGCCAGTTTGCCTCTTAGAGGAAGAATAGAAGCAGCAGCTGGAACCTGAAGCCTTCTGCTGTTCCGGACGCTCGGCCGATGCTTGAGTTGGGGGTGAAAACACTCAAAAAGCCTGGAACAGAATTTGAGGCTACCCAGCCAGACTGGAAGGGAGTTATCTAAATGCAGAGCATCTCAGCCAAGTCATAGCCAGGAATCACCACATCCTAAGGAAACTGAGGCATGGCCCCAAGCCCTTTCTCCTTGCTCTCCGGGGTCACCTCCTGGGGTTCCTGATAACCTATCGTGGTGGGTTCCGTCATGCAATTTGGAAAACAGTTCATCCTGGAGAAGTCTCCTAACTACAAAAGGGACATGGTGGCTCCTTTAACTCAGCTCAAGGGATTCCATCCCGCCCTCGATTTGCACAGATCAGCACAGGTCCTCCATCTGCTGACCAAGGGCAGGGACACGGCCCTTCTCTTTCAGCGTCAGCTGTGGGATGGTCTCACCCATAAATTTCTGACCACGTTAGATACTCAAGAACCCAAGGCAACCCAAGTTTCTCCTGGTGGGTGGGTAGAGGGATGACGATTGGTCCCTGTCACAGTCACACAAGGACTTGGAGAAACAGGCAATTGGGGAGGCAGTCAGAGCTGCCCCAAACCTTTAGGAAATACGTCTCTGCACGCAAACTATATGAATTTCTAGTGTCCCCGGGACAGAGAAGAGAATTCTTAAGAGAACATCATTTCCCCCACGCTCTTACAATCCTCCTTCGTATTAAGCCGAAGCTGACGTGGCCCCTCGTCTCTGTCCCTTACTCCACATCTGCACTCTGCCTGGTCCTGCGTCTGCGTGCCCAGCCACTGGCACCGGGTTCATTCCTCTATGGCACAGAAAGACCCACCGCCAGCCGCCCCAGAACGAGAGCCCGAAGGGGACGGGGACAGCTGGTGATCTGCCCCCTGAGCCTGCAGTCCATCCTGGGCTGGTCACTTGTGAGCAGGACAAAGACCCTGCAAGACTAAAATGCACTGTGAGAGGGCCACCTGTTGCCATGTGCTGTTATTTTGGGTGATCTCTGGGATTCAGTTTTCTACACAGTGTATCTACTCCTGGTATCTCCGCCATCAACTCTTCAACAGATAGTCGTAATGGGTTAGCTATGAGGTGTCCCCAAAAGCTCATACGTGAGACAATGCAAGGGAGTTAAGAGGTGAAGTGATCGGGTTATGAGAGCCTTAACCTAATTGGTACATTTATTAACTAGGAAGGTAGGGTGTGGCTGGAGGAGGTTGGTCACTGGGGTGGCCCTTGGGGTTTATATTTGGCCCTGGTGAGTACAGCCTCTCTCTCTCTCTCTGCTTCCTAGTGCCATGTCCTGAGCTGCTCTGCTTCTCCACACCCTTCCGCCATGATGTTCTGTCTCACCTGGACCCAGAGCAATGGAGCTGGCCACCCACGGACGGAGACCTCGGAAACCACGAGCCCCCAAATAAACTTCTTCCCCAAAAATCGTTCTCGCCAGGTCTTTTGGTCAGAGCAGGGTAAAAGTTGGCTGAGACGAGCGTTCAGCATCAGCTCTATCACACCGACATCCAGTGAGGACTTCCCGGGAGAGCGGTGCGCAGGGCACTCTAGTCGCAGTGGCTCCCTCTCTGTCTCCTGGTGAGTGGAGCTCCCCGGTCACCTGGCACCAGGCTTCTCCAGGTCCATGTCTCTGGCACCCTGAGGCTGGCCCTTTGAAAAGCAGATTTTCAGCAGGATCTGTGGCTTTCTGCTTGTCCTCGATCGATCCCGTGGCACTTAACAGGACCAGAAACAGCCTCCTCCGTGCCCTGGCAGTTTCAGGCAGAAGTGGTCCCTGACCCATGTGCACATTTTAACGTTTTCTCCAGACCTGGCCACGAAATGGTCGACCAGATTGGTTCCTTAGGAAACCGATTTCCTTTCTGAGCATCTTCTCTTGCCGTCCAACGAACGTTTTAACCACTTTCCCCTCCACTTCCTTCCTTTCCCGGGGCGCTGAGCTCCGAGGCCGGCCACCGTGCAGGAAAGCATTACCGCGGAAGCTGGGAGCTGTAGCTTCGCCAAAAGGCCCCGCTTTTGCCCTGGGGCAAACTTGTTAAGATTGGGAGCTCCTCCGCCAGGGTCATCTGTCCAAGGGCGCTGTGAAAGCCTCCTGGGATGTTCATCTAGCCACGGTCTAATTAATTTTCAAACGGACAAAACAGCTTCTTGGGCCGCGTAACAAGCATTTTCATTCATCTGCGCGAGGCTGGATTTGGCTCCGAGCAGGGTCACGAGGAACCCTAATGGCTGCTTCCCTCCTTTGTGTGTCCCCAGGAGAGCTTGTGTTGATGTCAACAAAGCAGGATCTGTGCTTCAGGCGATTGGAGTGGGTTCGGCTTCCAGAGAGCCAAGTTCTTTGACTTCGCTGAGAAGGAAAGGGTAGGGGACCTGGCATATGGGAAGAGTCCTTGGGCCCTTTTACTTTATTGGATTTAGCCACACTCCCATAATGAAATTGTTGAGATTGTCTAAACCTTCTGCAAGGGCTTCTGTTAGCGAGGGGGAACTTGTACTCAAGCCATGAGGAGATTGTATCGTAGATATAATGGAATCATTCTTATCTCTTGCCTGGGTTTCTGCACGAGGGCTGACGTTCTGTCCTGGGCACGAAGCCAAAGGTCTATTTAATTTCTACTTAAATTTTCCCATGGTCAGTAGTACTGTCCCCAGACACTGGTTTCATTACATTAATGAATAGAGACAAAGTCGATAGCAAGCTTACAAATCCTTTGGTGGCTTTTTTTTTTTTTTTTCCCAAGGTGTTTATTTTGTACAGTAAACACAATCACCCTGTAGAAATCCCGTTCCTTATTCTTCAGGACAATGCTTCACTGATGTCTCAGTAAAATGTCAAAATTATTTTTGGCCTGAGGACACAACTACGATCCAATAAGGCCTGCTTTTTTAAAATACTGATATTCTGGCTTTGCACGAATGCTCCTGAGTTATCAGTCTTGTCTTTTTATCTCGTTTAGTGTATGTGGGTGGTGGTGGCATTTCTTATTCAAATTCGCATTTTAGTTATTTATTTTGTGTTTTCTAGGGGGATTTGTGCCAGTTGGGAAATAGACTTTTTCTTTCCCCTGAGAGGGAGTGCCCAGACCTCGGAAACTGCCCCTCCTGGCCACAAGCCCCTCAGGAAGGGTCAGCAGGGTGGCCTGACCCTAGGAGCACAACCCACGGAACATGACACGTTCCTTGCAGTGCTGCCGCAGGGCAGTCTGGCCCTGGCATTTGTTACAAGAAGTCCCCAAGCTGCTGGCTGGTGCCCTTGCAGCCAACAAAGGACCACGGAATGCACCTGTGTCCTGCCTTCCAGGAGCCCCTCCTTGGTGGCAGCCTTACCAGCAGAGGCTGTCTCGCCCCTTGTTTTGCCCTGTAAGACGGGCTCTCCTCTGCACTGAGTAAAGGAAGAGGGAGAAGAACGTCCATGCCTAAGTGCGCTTGAAGACCCAGTCTTTGTTGGTGTGTCTTGCACGTGGCTTTGTCTCTGATGTGTCCACAGCTAGAGCAGCACCTGTCTGACCCTGCTACACACATCGGCGGACTGCCTACGCCGTGCCAAGCTCTCCCCAGCCCCTGCCAGGCAGTGACATCATTTGCCCTCTGTTCAGGTACAGACGGGGAATCCAGAGAGTCCATAAATAGTAGTCATTTACCCTTAACAATGCTTCCTGAGATAATAGACCTGCTTTTCACAGTTTGGAGAGAAACGGTTCCTCATTTGTAATGTCACCAAGACCAGATCCTTGGGCAGGACGTCAGAGATGGCTGAGCAGATGCCGTGCGGTTCCTCTCCCAGCTCCAGAGCCTCTGGGATCAGCGAGGCATCGGGGTTTCCAAGACAAGAGCACATTAACGGACATTGTTGTACAGGAGGGTTTTCTCTGCCTGGCGAAATCCGTGCCTCTTTTTTAAGTTTGCAGAATTTGAAACACGTGCATACAACAGGATGGTGCAGTGAGGTGCGCTGACGGTATTGCTTCTCCCTCCCATTGCGTATCTTTGTTCAGGAGTCAACGAAAAGGGATATTCTCAAAACTCTAGCACAAACAAAGGCAGCACTCAGTGCCCAATATAAACATATTTCTGTTTAGCAAAGAGCAGGAGTATCGAGGCCCTCCGCTTTTCTCTTCTCACACAGCAGCATGTTCTGTGCTGACGGTATGAGTTAACAAATTCGAGTCTGTTTATTTTGTTGGAAATTCCACTTCATGAATCACCGCGTTCCACAGAACAGCAGAAGGACAGCATGGCCATTGTTTGACTCACAGTGGTCCCAGCCCCAGGAGCCCGTCCCGACGTCCGCTTGCCGTCAGCGGGCCCTGTCTGCTTTCATCTTTCCAAGGCCTCCCTTCTAATAGCATTCAAATTATTTAGACACTCAACCATGTTTTTGCCTCCGGTGCAGACACTTCTAAAGAGCGCGAGCCCCAGTGTGACCAAATAACCCTCCACTATTTATCTTCTCACAAGTCATTATTCCGGAGGCTCTGAGGAGCGGCTCCCAGCATGTGCACCGCAGGCCGCCAGAGCTCCTCCTGCAGAAACCAGCCGGCCCATGGGCCTGCTCTGCTCCCGTCTCTCTGGCAGGTACACAATGCCACGGTTCAGGCAGAGGGGAGGCGGGGCAGCGTGGTTTAGCCATGATTCCCCGAGTTCCTAGAGTAAGGAGCATGTGGGCCCCCAAATCAATTGTGATTATTAATGATCTCCATCCCTTTCAGTAATTGCAAGGAAACTGTAGGCACTCGGAAAGAAATTAAAATGTGAACAGTCACTCTCCAGTTTCATCTTCTGCTCAGAATTACCTTTTTTTTTTTTTTTTTTTAAATCCCCTCTGCCTCTGTTAATGATGTGCCTCCTGGTGGTGAGTGATTGTGTGAACCACCAGGGACACAGAAAATGAAGACACAGGATTCTTGCCCCCGTGGAACGAGGGTCTGACGGGAGACGTGGCGGTTGAGATGTTTCCAGCATTCTCAGGCCGTTTCCCGTGCAGACATGCAGTGTGGATCCCCTCTCTCTCTTTTTTAAAAACATAAATGTCAGTGCCTGGTGCGAGTGCGTCCTGTGGCCTGTGTTATTCGTGTGGCCATCGGCAGAGGGCGTACAGGGTTCTTTCTCCTCCAAACAGCCCCCTGGATTTGTCTTGGGGAATCGCCTCTTCTGTGTTTCGTGTGCTCCTCCCCGGACTGCACATCCATCCCCTGTCCCCTACAGCCAAGGGGGAGATGCACCCTGAGTTCATTCTCTTTAGTTCCAACCAGAGAACTCGAGGGTGGAATCATGTTTGAAGGGCATCAGGCCAGAGAAGGGAGCAGTATCAGGTGCTGGGTGGTTCAGGACTACCAAGTCCCCATCACTCTTCAGCTTCCCGTTCCTTCTGTGGGCAATGAAATTGCTCCAGCTGCTTCCCCTTTGTTTGAGTGACCAGAGTTAATGTCACGGTTGGTATGGGAGGCGTCCCTCAGAAGCTCCTGTGTGAGACCATGCAAGAAGGTTGAGAAGTGCCGTGATGAGGTTACGAGAGCCGTAAGCTATCAGTGCATTAATCCACTTGAATGGATTAACTGGGTAGTAACTGTAGGCAAGTGGGGTGTGGCTGGGGGACGTGGGTCACTGGGCGTGTGCCTTTGGGGTTTATAACTGTCTTTGGGAGTAAGAGCTCTCTCTGCCTCCTGGTGCCATGTGCTAAGATGCTGTCCTCCTCCACCCTCTTCCACCATGAAGTTCTTCTGTCTCTCGTTGGGCCCAGAGCAAGGGGCGTGTCTGTCCATGGACTGAGACCTCTGAAATTGTGAGCTCCTGAATAAATGCCTCCGCTAACTGTTCTTGTCCATTCTTTTGGTTACAGAAGAAAAAAGCTGACAGGTGAGGTGTGGCAGAACAGAGCATCTGAGGACGAGGGAATCAGAAAATAGAGCCCTGCCCACCAGAAACAAGATATCCCAAAGGCACACCCCACGGGGACCACTTCCTCCAGCCGCACCCTACCTGCCTACAGTCACTGCACTAATTCACTGATTAGGTCACAACTTTCGTAATCTAATCATTTACCTCTGCCTGGTTCTCAAATGGTCTCACACGTGAGCTTTCGGGGGATACCTTATATCTAAACCATAGCAGTCTATCAACCAATATCTCAGAATATAAATACATGCAAAACATATTCTTATGTCTTTAACTTTGGACAGATGTTTAGATGCATTTTTTAGGGATGAATTTCTCGAAAGAAAACTGCTGAGTCAAAGAACTTGTATATTTTTAATAATACCCAACAGTGTCTAAGGCTCTCGTGTGGGTAGAGGAATACTGATTGAGAATATAAACAATTAGAAAATCAGTAACAATTCACGTGTAATAACTTTGTGGTCCTTGTGTTAGGTTTTGATCACTGTGACCCAAACATGTGACAAGAACAACTGAGAGGAGAAAAAGTTTATTTTGGCTCATTGGCTTCTGAGGTTCGGTCCATGGTGGGCCAACTCCATTGCTGTGGTCCAAGGTGAGGCAGAGCATCATGGTGGAGAGGCGTGGGGAGGAGAGCCATTCTGTTTATGAAGGTCAGCAAGCACAGAGAGAGGGGGTGAGTAACCAGAAGGAGGAGATATCACTCCTATGTGACCAGTGATCCACTCCTCCCGTCACACACCCCAACTACCTACAGTTACGACCATTTAGCTAGGAGGACTGATGAGGTGTGGCCCCGTGACCTAATCACTCACCCGCTAACTATCCCTGCATTAACACAGGGGCTTTTAGGGGGCAACTCATATCTAAACCATTATAGTCACTAAGTAAAAAAGGTAATTCCTACTGAATTTAAAAAAAAAAACAACTAATACTAACTTTGTGAAACCTGAAAGTATCTAAAAATACCAAGAAAAACTGATCACCAAGTCACTCATGATTCTTTCACCCAGCTTGCAAGAGCCGCACTCACTCATTATCATTATTTTTTATTCTGATCCAAATTTGACAACTTTTTTTTTGGTAAAGGTTTCTCATCCATCATAGCTTTAAGTAGAATATTCTACATATATTTCTTAAATTCTGAGTATATGATATTTTCTACATAATTTCTTTTCTTTTTTTAAATTTCTGATTTTTAAAAAAATATTTGATTTTTAGTTTTAGGTGGACACAATATATTTTATATTTATGTGGTGCTAAGGATTGAACTCAGTGTCTCATACATGCTAGGCGAGCACTACACCACTGAAGCACAAGCCTAGTTCCTAAATTTCTGATTTATTTGCTTCTGCTTAGCATATTCCATGATTCCAACCTTTTGAAATTTGCTGGGACTTTCTTCATGGATCGGTGGCAATTGTAGTTATGGTTATGTGTACAGGTGACAGATGAGTCATCTCCAGTTGGGACAGCATTCTGCATATTTGATTTAAGGTGAATCTGCTGGTTGCATTGTTCAAATATTTTATATCCTTACAGATTTTCCCCGCTTCATCTATCAGTGAAGAAAAGAATATGTTAAAATTTCCTACAATTATTATGAATTTGCCTAGAAAAATTCCGTCAATTTTTTTTCAAACATTTTAAGACTAAGTTGGTAGGTGCGTACAAATTTAGAATTCTTATATTTTCCTAATGAGTTAAATATTTATTATTTCAATGATCTCCTCTTCAACCCCAGTAATGTTTTTGACTTCAGATATTTTTTGTGTCATTTCACAGCTTCTATATTGTTAGTTGACCTTGCTTAAAAGTAATTGGCTCCAATTCATGTATCCCCATTAAACAGCATAAACTGGGTTTTTGTTTTGCTTTGTTTTTAGATCCAGTTGGGTAGTCTTTGTCATTTACGTGGAGCATTTAGCACATTTACAGTTAATGTGAATATTGACGTGTTACAGGGTGTCTTCCATCTGTCCAACATATTCTGTCTTCTTTTTCCTTTATTTTTTTTTATGCTGTTTTGGACGGATTAAAAGTTTTCATCACCTCACACTTTTCTTTAGTCGTTGAAAATTTCCTTCATACTCCTTTGGTGTTCACAGGATTACGGCTTCTGTGTTTGACTTATGAGTCTGATAATCGTAGCTTGACCTCTTTGTGAACTCAAAGCTCACCACTGTGATGCTATTTACCCCTAATGATTGATATGACTTTGTGTATTTTATTTTTAAATGTTGCAAAGCCAGCAAGATAGTATGATGATTATCTTCTAACTCGATATCCATTCTGCACATCCACGTGTGGACCCTTTTTGTGTTTCTTTCCCCTTTTGTACCTCTCCATTCTTTCTTGTGGGATTTTCTTCCTTCTGTTTAAAGAATACTCTTTAATATATTCTTCAGTAAAGTATCTGCTGGTGACAAATTCTAGCCTTTTAGAATCAAAGTGTCTATTTTGCCTTCATTGGGAATTATTTTTTTTTAATTTGCCAGTTTGACAGGTGATAATGGTATTATATTGCTTTAATTTGCATATATTTTATATATTTACTATCTTCTTTCCATCTTCTCTTGGGTACTTAATATCCTACAGTGTTAAAAGCATCTTTTTTTCTTTTTTTTCCTCCTTTTCTTTTTCTTTCTTTTGCAGAGGAGAGAGGCTGAATTATTCACTTATCAGGGGTGAAGTGCTGTGTTTTGGGTAACTCGTTTTGTTCCCATGTCCCTGTGTGTGTGGAGACAGGCGCTGCCTGACTGTGAGCTGCCCGTGGTTAGCGGGTTTCTGCCTCCAAGCCTCATACACGTCTGGACGGTGCTTCAGATCTCACAGGACCAACTATCCTTGTTATGAGCCTGGACAGTCATGAAGGATGTCTTGATTTTTCAAAAGATATCTCGATGATATAGAAAGATGTTGGGAAAATTACAAATTGTATTCATCGCCAGGTTTATTATTTCCTATGTCCCATAAGAAAACCTGGGTGACGGTCAACTTTTGGAGCTCAGAGGATGTCGCGAATTCCTACAATCTTGCTATCTCAATGCCTTTTGGGGAGGGGTCCCAGGGCCACGGGTCTGCAGGGCCAGAGCGCTACCTCTCAGCCGCCCTCCCCGCCCTCGGCTTCCATTTTGAATCTGACTTCAGGCTTCTGAAGCCAGGAGCAGGGTTCGGTGACCCTGGACCGGGTGTCCAGCTCTACCCACACCCAGTGACTCAGATGCTGGTCAGAGGTGTCTCTGCAGCAGCCTGGGCTCCCCAGCTGCCTGGAGTCCCCTTTAGTGGGCTCGCAGCATTTGCCCTTCAAGCGACCTCATTCCTGCAGACCTCTCGTTGGCCTGGGCTCTTCTCTCTCTGCCTGACTCTTCCTGCTGGCCTCTCATGCCCTGGGACGGGGGGCTGCTCTCCTGGCCCACCTCACCCTCCCTGCTCAGGATCTGTGAGTGACAATCTTCCTGCTGGTTTTGCACTATGGTGACCTGTTGGTTGGCACCGTCCTTGGATTTGGGCCTCCAATGTGTCTGAAGAGCCAGGGGCTGCCCAGGCCAGGAGGACCCACAAGGTCCGGCTCCATTGCCAGAGCCATGGTCAGGCAGCCAGAAACTGTGTCCGGGTCCGACAGGAGCACAGGGGTGTCCTCAGTGTCCACAGGTTTCTGTCTGGTCCCAGGTGGGACAATGAGGCCTCAGGCCACCACCAGGTAAAGAAGCATCCTGTGACAGGCATCCACCCCCAGGCTCTCTGTGGCTGACCACCCAGTCCCAAGGACCCCTACGAGCTGCTTTCCCAGTCCACGTTGCTCCCCCAATGTCCCTTCTCATTGCACTGATGGCAGAGTGGAGCAGGAGGTGAGCCACCGCACCT